ATGAAATATATTTTTAAAAATACATTTTCAAATATATTGTATGTCTTTAAAAAAACATTTAATCTACATTTTTGGAATGCATTTACAAATCTATGTAAATATATATATTAAAATTAGTTTTTTATTTGTTAAAAAAAATCTGAAGAAATATTAAATAAAATAAAAATATATTTAAAAAAACATAGTGTGTGTGTGTGTGTGTATATACATATAATATTTGAAAATATATATATATAATATATATATATGAATCTATATAATAAATTGGAAATACGGGCAAATTGTAATTTCAAATATATTTAATATCTTTGGGAAATAAAATTTTTAAAAATAAATATTCGTTTAAAATATATTTTAAAAGACTCTTCCTTGTAATAAATAAATTAAGAAAATATTGTTAAAAAAATTTAATACATATATTAAAGTTATATATTAAAATAAGTGAGAAAATAAGGAAATAACATGTGAATGAATAGTTTATTAAAAAAAAGAAAAAACGGAGCAAAAAGTAGATGTAAATAAAAATATATGTTACAGGTATGAAGGAGCAATGGAAATCTAAGAGTAGGTTTGTAATTTTATTTTTTTTTATTTTTTTTTTTTAATTAGTTAATATTCATGAGGCTTTACAGAGTTTCGGGAACACTGATTTGAATTATTGGAGTTCTAAATTATAGAACGGATGCATGAATGACAGATGGCATTATGGTTAAGTAGATGTCATACCAGGATGATTATGAGTTTTAAAGTTCATGTATAAGGCATTATTGTGGGTTCATTTAGGCTTTACTATTTGTTAAATTGAACAAATTGCATTATGAAATGGTTCTGAATGAGTTACTGCATTATGTGTGGAGGTGGATATAGAAATCATCACAGGGTTAAGTCATGAGTAATTAATTAATTCTATAATAAAAATGTAGTATTTTTAAAGGCTTCTAGATCTGAAATAGAAAGGTCAATAAGATAAAGTTTTATAAACTAAGTTTGAATTAAGACCAACTACAATAACAGACGCTTACTCAATCTTTATGTTTTTTCACTAAAATCTTCTTGAATTCTTCAGATTTAATTTTCCTACTTATGTATGGAGTATGACGCCATGTTTTATTAAATGTGAGAGCCATGTCTCTCTTATTACGTTTTCACTTATTCTCACAATAACATTACTGTTCAAAATATTGTGAAATATAGGAGAGGGGGAGAAATGAAATGAAAGGGCAAACAGTGAGAAAAAGAATAACACAAGGCTTTTTTACAATTTACATATTTATGACTATTGGATGACTTGGAATCTCTGCTTTTAGTTTCTTGATATTAAGCTCATGGAGACACCTTGAACTATTACATCTACATTGATAAAGTTGATTGATTTGTGATTTTTCACAAATGATACAAATTGACAATAATGCCTCTTTCTGAATTTCACAGGATTTGTTATTAGGATGGTTTGGGTTTTTTTTTAGCAGAAGCCAGACTTTTTTTTTTTTTTTTAAATTTTTTTTTTTTTATGAGTTCAACAATTACCTTCCAACATGTCACCCACATCCCTGTTATAGGTCAAAGACTTCCATCTATTTTCTAGTTTACTTTTTCATTACCCTGAAATGACCAATTTCATCTTGGACTTACCCAGGCTAAGAGTATTACAATTTTATAATAAAACATATAATAACAGCTCTAAAATGGCTGTTGCAATCTAATAAATTAGGCAGAAATCACAACCTTTATTTACATATTACTCAAAAGGACCTTTTGATCCTGTTTATGCAGTCTGTAATTCTACCCTGATTTCCAGATTGTTTTTATAATTGAATTAAAATGAATCAGCCTACAATAGTATTTTTCATTCACCATAGTATGATAATCTTTTGGAATTACAAAGGCGTAGAGCTAACTTTGGTTAGAGCAAGCACAGATGTAGATATTCCTTGTCTTGAAGAAGTTTATATGATAATCAAAATAAAATATTCATAGCTTTTGCTTCCTTTGAGATCACATCCTGGGAGAGAAGCATTATGAAAGCTTCATGTAAGCAACTTCTACATTTCATTTCACTTTATTACAAAGACGAGGTGACTTTCATAATAAGTGCTGCTTTGTTAGAAATAATGTATGTTCTTATATTAAACTCAAGCAAACATTGCTTTGAATATGCTATGTCTCCTTTCTTTTTTCATGCTGTGGCTCAATATTATGCTGTGACTAATGTTGGTCAATCTTAGTACTTAAAATTGGAATGTGTTTTTTTTCCCTCCCTCTGTTATCAAGAATGGACTAGAGTATCTCAATTGTATGTAGTTTTTCCCCTTATACATTTGCAGAAAGCTCATCAGTGATACCAATCACTTAAAGATATCACATTATAATATCAAAGCACTACTTCCCATTTTCAGATGGGACATTAAGTAACACAGGTGATATAATTACCTTTCAGGGTTGGCATTATAATTACCTTATCTCATGTCAATCACTTACTTTACTGGGGGGGGGGGGGAGTATTTATGTACTTTGGCTAGTGAGAGAAATAAAAATTACCTGCTGCAAATACATTTTTTTTTCAGTGTGTTCACATTATAGATTATTTGATATGAATTTTATATTTTTTTAATATACATTTTGACAACCTCACTGTGTGTTCTTCCGTTGGTTTTCTGTTTTTGTTGGTTTTGTTCAGCAACTGGCAGCAAATAAACAAACATAGCCAGTATTCAGGTTATAGGGGAGCATGTGATTCACTCCTTTTTTTTTTTTCTATGTGTTGCTACTGGGGCCTGGTGATTGGGCAATCAGACATCACGCACTGACATACTGGTGTGAGGGGGAAGTTTTGCAGCTCTGTTTAAAACTTTCGTCTGAACTGTCATGATTGGATGTTGGAAGCTGTATGCTTACACAGAGATAACTGTCTCTTAAAGCTTGGCAATAGATGGTTTGAATTCGTCTGGTTCAGCAGTACAAACCAAGATTCGAACCATGTATGGGGTAGGCTGAATGTACCCGAGTTGATCGATCAATCAACTTGGGTACTACCAGCCTTCTAGATTTTTACATGTGATTGTTAGCAGCTGTTCTAGCCACTAGCAATAATCACTGGCTCCGGTGGAGGGACTCCCCTGTCAACACTTACTGTGTTGATGGGGAATCCACCTGGTGGTTGCAGAAAAGAAATTTGCTCCATCTATGGCCGGTCTTAGAAGATAGACTGAGGAAAAAGAGCAGTAAAGCACAACTGTGAGGAATAACTAAGCAGGGAAAAAATGTTCATCTTTAATGAGCAGCTCCTTTTAAAATGTGTTTACCCACTTGCCTCCTGAAGATTTACCCCCCTTCCTGACCAGGGCCATTTTTTGCGTTATGGCGCTGCATTAGTTTTAATTGACATTTGCGCGGGTCATGCAACTCTGCAACCAAATGAAAGTTATGTCCTTTTTTCACACTAATTCAGTTTTCTTTGTGGCATTTGATTGCCTGTGCGTTTTTTTTAAATTTTTTGCACTATAAAAAAAAGAAGACAGACCATTTTAAGAAAAAAAAAAACAATATTTTTGATGTTTTGCTATTAAACACGTCCTGTAAAAAAATTTTATTAAAAAATCAAATTTCATCATATATTTAGCCAAAATGTATTCTGCTACATGTCTTTGTTAAAAAAAATCCCAATATGTGTAAATTAAATTGTTTTACGTGAAAGTGATAGTGTTTACAAATGGCGGTATAGATACTGGGATTTTATTTTAACTAGAAATGGCAGTGATCATCAGCAACTTATAGCGGGACTGCAGGAGGACTGCGGCAGGTATTCTGACACTGAGGGGAACTGACTTGATGTCACTGACATCCCCAGTGACACCAATACAGTGATCAATGCTAAAAAAAAAAAGCACTCACACTACTTATGGCACTGGGCAGGAAGGAGTTAACATGAGGGGCGATCAAAGGGTTACCTGTGTGCTGCTTTACAAGTGCTGTGTCCGTGTGCTTCACTGTAAGCACACTGCTTTGCATGGCTGTGCTCTGCACAGCCATGCAAAAGCAGTGTGCAGGAGCTGACAGGGAAGATGATAACTGTTTTGTTTACAAAACAGTTCTCTTCCCTGTTGGAGATGCTCAGCAAATCACCGGGCGCGGGCGAGTTAAACACTGGCTGGGACCCAGTAATTTGCAATAGCAGCAGCCTCGCCGAGCCCCCTACCCAGAAAATGCACATACACCCATCATACATACATACATACATATATAACAAGTTGTGTTCAAAATAATAGCAGTGTGTTGAAAAAAGTGCAATAAAGCTCAAAATCTCCATCTAATAGCTTTTATTTTCCATTTCTTATTTATTTACACAAATGCATTGGGAAAACACTACACATTCTATTCCAAATCAAAACATGAAGAAAAAATATATCAAATTTGTGTTTTGTTCCTCTAAAAAAAAACTGGAAAAGAAAATTGAATATTAGACTGTTCAAAAAAATAGCAGTGTTTGTATTCTTCTTTACACAACTCAAACATTCACTATAATAAACTGAAAAATGTTTGAAGATTTTGCTTTCCTTTGAATCACTTAATTAATATTTAGTTGTATAAGCACTGTTTCTGAGAACTGCTGTACATCTGTGTTGCATGGAGTCAACCAACTTCTGGCACCTGTGAACAGGGTATTCCAGCCCAGGATGATTGGACTACATTCCACAGTTCTTCTCTATTTCTTGGTTTTTTGCCTCATTTTTGTGTTGTCCCACCTCCCACAAGTTTTCTATTGGATTAAGGTCCGGGGATTGGGCATAACGTCAATCTTGTTGGTCTAGAACCCAGATGTTGCACGTTTACTGGTGTGTTTGGGGTCGTTGTCTTGTTGGAACACCCATTTCAAGGGCATTTCCTCTTCAGCTTAAGGCAGCATGACCTCTTCAAGTATTCTGATGTATTCAAACTGATCCATGATCCCTGGTATGCAATAAATATGGCCCAACACCGTAGTATGAGAAACATCCCCATATCATGATGCTTGCGCAACCCATGTGCTTCACTGTCTTCACAGTGTACTGTGGCTTGAATTCAGTGTTTGGGGGTCGTCTGAGACAAACTGTCTCCTGGCCACTAGACCCAAAAAGAACAATCTTACTTTCATCAGTCCACAAAATGTTGCGCCATTTCTCTTCTTTAGGCCAGTCAGTGTGCTCTTTGGCAAATTGTAACCTCTTCAGCACGTCTTTTTTTCAACAGTGGGACTTTGCAGGGACTTCTTGCAGATAGCTTGGCTTCACATAGGCGTCTTCTAATTGTAACAGTACTCACAGGTAACTTTAGACCTTCTTTGATCTTCCTGGATGCTGATTGTTGGTCTGAGTCCCTTTGCCATTTTTGGCTATTCTTCTATCCATTTGAATGGTAGTTTTTTTACGCTTGCTTCCACGTCTTTCAGGTTTTGGTTTGCTATTTAAAAGCATTTGCGATCATTTTAGCTAAGCAGCCTATCATTTTCTGCACTTCTTTATATGTTTTCCCCTCTCCAATTAACTTTTTAATCAAGGTATATGTTCTTTCTTTGAACAATGTCTGGAACGACCCATTTTCCTCAGAATTGTCAAAGAGAAATTCACTGTAACCAGCATGTACAATACATTTGCTGCCTTCCTTTCCTTAAATAAGAGCACAATAATTGCCACCCCAAGCATGTTTTTCAAAGAATGAATGACCTCACTCACTAATTGAACAATCCACACTGCTATTATTTTTGAACATGCCCCTTTTCAATTAGTGATTCAATTACACAGAATCAGGCAGCGTCGCATTTGTCATGAACTGTTGGGTCTGTTGGATTTCTATTACTCTGGCCCCCTTGTACACCTGCTAGTAAATTATTTTGCCATGTAGAAATATCATTTCTACCAAAAACCCAGTGATTGATCAGGTTAGTGATGTCTGACTGTGCTATTATTTTATGAACACAACTGTGTGTGTGTATATATGTGTGTGTATATATATATATATATAATATATATAATATATATATATATATAGAATGGATGAATGGTTAACCTCCCAGGAGTTTCATTTAAAAGAGTTTCTCTCTATTCCTTTTCTAGTGGAAGCTGTAAAATTATAGAATTTCCTTTCACTTTCTGTTCCAGTGACAATAATCACTCGGACACAAAATTAGGGTTAATCTCAGACAGCAATAAAATCCTCAAATGGTCTGCATATGGGGCTCTGAAAGAGACAAGTAATGATGGCACTAGTTTTAGGTCACTAGTTTAAAACCACTAGTTTTTAGGATCCAAACAGAAAACACACGGTAAAAAACAGCCTACAGGATTCAGGAGTTTAGAACAGTCCCCTTTTATCAGGCATTTAATAAGAACAAGAAATGCAAAACAAGCATGTAGAACCAAAAATGTTTTTTAACATCTCTTAACCAGTGGGTGCAACTATGTCTAATAGAAGTAGCTACAGCTACATTCTAATCATGAAAAAACCTTACTGAATCCAGTGGTCTAAGCATCCAAATTTTGTATATTGCTATATCCTATTAGAACAAGGATAAAATGTAATTAATTGATTACAATCCACTATATGCTAACATAATTATATAGATTGCATTACCATTTAAATTCATAGGTTGATATAAACTAAAGAAACCAAATATTTCAAAAATGTACATAAAACGGCATCCTTGATATGACATAATTCAAATAAACCAACACAAATACAGTACAAGTGGACAGCTTATCTATGGTCAACTGAAGGCATACTCATAATAAAAAATGAATAATAGAATATTAAAATAACAAAGTTATGATAGCAATTGGCAGTAAATATGACATACAGTGGGGATCGAAAGTTTTGGCACCCCAGCTAAAAATTTTGTATTAATGTGCATAAAGAAGCCAAGGAAAGATGGAAAAAATCTCCAAAAGGCATCAAATTACAGATTAGACATTCTTATAATATGTCAACAAAAGTTAGATTTTAATTCCATCATTTACACTTTCAAAATAACAGAAAACAAAAAAATGGCGTCTGCAAAAGTTTGGGCACCCTGCAAAATTATAGCATGCACTGCCCCCCTTTGCCAAGCTGACACCACCTGCCAGTGTCATGGATTGTTCTCAATCAATCATCGTCTGGGAAGACCAGGTGATGTCAGTCTCAAAGGTTTTAAAAATGCCCAGACTCATCTGACCCCCGCTTGCCCCGCAACAATCAGCACCATGGGTTTCTTCTAAGCAGTTGTCTAGAAACTAAAACTGAAAATAGTTTGACGCTCACAAAGCTGGAGAAGGCTATATAAGAAGATAGCAAAGCATTTTCAGATGTCAATATCCTCTGTTCGGAATGTAATTAAGAAATGGCAGTCATCAGGAACAGTGGAAGTTAAAGCAAGATCTGGAAGACCAAGAAAAATATCAGACAGAACAACTTAGCTGCAGGATTTGTGAGAAAAACAATTCAAAACCCACGTTTGACTGCACGATCCCCTCCAGAAAGATCTGGCAGACACTGGAGTTGTGGTACACTAATCCACTATAAAGAGATACTTGTACAAATATGGTCTTCATGGAAGAGTCATCAGAAGAAAACCTCTTCTACGTCCTCACCACAAAATCATCGTTTGAAACTTTGCAAATGAACATATAGACAAGCCTGATGCATATGTGGAAACAAGTTCTGTGGACCGATGAGGTTAAAATTGAACTTTTTGGCCGGAATGAGCAAAGGTACGTTTGGAGAAGAAGGGGCACAGAATTTAATGAAAAGAACCTCTGTCCAACTGTTTAAGCATGGGGTTGGATCAATCATGCTTTGGGGTTGTGTTGCAGCCAGTGGCACAGGGAACATCTCACGAGTAGAAGGAAAAATGGATTCAATATAATTTCAGCAAATTTTGGATGGTAACTTGATGCCATCTGTGAAAAAGCTGAAGTTAAAGAGAGGATGGCTTCTACAAATGGATAATGATCCTAAACACACCTCGAAATCCACGGGGGATTACATCAAGAGGCGTAAACTGAAGGTTTTTGCCATGGCCTTCACAATCTCCTGACCTCAACATAATTGAAAATCTATGGATAGACCTTAAAAGAGCAATGCGTGACAGACAGCCCAGAAATCTCAAAGAACTGGAAGCCTTTGTAAGGAAGAATGGGCAAAGATACCTCAAACAAGAATTGAAAGACTCTTGGCTGGCTACAAAAAGCGTTTACAAGCTGTGATACTTGCCAAAGAGGGCAGTACAAGATATTAACTCTGCAGAGTGCCCAAACTTTTGCAGACGCCATTTTTTTGTTTCTGTTATTTTGAAAGTGTAAATGATGGAAATAAAATCTAACTTTTGTTGACATATTATAAGAATGTCTAATCTGTAATTTGATGCCTTTTTGGAGATTTTTTCCATCTTTCCTTGGCTTCTTTATGCACATTAATACATATTTTTAGCTGGGGTGCCCAAACTTTCGATCCCCACTGTATGTGCCTGATATTATATAAGTATTAAAACTCAATGAGAAATGAGTGCAGGAGAAACCCTAAGGGTAACTATGTATAGAGAGAACGATTTGCTTCTACTATAACTAGATATGTAGTAGATGATATAACCTGTTTGTAAAACTAAGATTACTTCTAATATTCCCATAATTGTTGTCTGTTGTTTCTCCATGTATCCCTAATAAAGTGTATTGGCCCATGGTCAAAAAACCTACTTTTGAACCTGTACTGGAAAATGGCAAATGAGGATCACAGCTTGAATACCATTAGTACTTTCGAGACAATACAGATGATTCCTAATTCAGTCACAGTGAGAAAAAAAATAATATATATACAGCAGTCCCGGTTTACGTACAAGATAGGGACTGTAGGTTTGTTCATAAGTCGAATTTGTTCATAAGTTGAATCAGGCACTTTTTTATAAGCACTAACTACTAACCAAACGACAGGATATTAGATTACGTTTTTGTAATAAGGTTACAGAAAGCAGTAAAACCTCAAGAGCTCTAAACTGGTGTTTTGCATAAGAACTGCAGCTTGGACACATGTTTGCCTTAACATATTTAACTTTTATGTGCATGTAAATGTTTAAACATCAAATTCAACATTCAAATATTATACTGTAAACTCTTGTACAGTGTAGAGTACAACTTTAAACTATCTTGGCAGAGGATGGCATGTTGGAGAGGATTGGGCAGCAACAGTGTCTCCGACATCCAAATGTAAAAATACACTGTACTGTAATGTACTGTATGAGAGAACTCTGCTCTCCTTTACACAGCACACGCTGCCCCCTCCCCCCTGCACAGACGGAGGATCACTTCAGTGAGCAGCCTGACAGCCTCTCCTTTCCTCTCCCCGGAGGTGCAGACAGACAGTCTTAAATCACTTTGGAGATAGTGGGCAGACACTGCTAGCCCCACAAGTAACGAGCAATGGATGTCTCTGTCTCTTATGTCTCTCTGATGTCTCTTATCAGCTAGTCTCTTATCAGCTTGCTGCACAAGAATGCTGACAGCTTGACTTCCGGTCCCGAGGGAAGTGTACGTAAGTACGAGTATTACGTAAGCCGAATGTACTTAACTCGGGGACTGCCTGTATATAAATAATATATATATATACACACACACACACACACACATATACACACAGTGCTTGGCATAAATGAATACATCCCAAACAGATTTGTCAGAAAACTTTTACTTTCCTTTCAGAATCAACATTTTGTAGGGGACACTATGATACACAATACTCCCACAAATACAGGCCATTAATTGCAAACACGATTTGTTAATTTGCACACACAAAGTATTTTTTTCTGAACAAATTAATTTAAGATCATGTTGCAAAAATGAATATACCCCAATGAAAGTCTTGGGAGCAAAGCACAATTTTAGACAAAATCCTAATTAACAAGAATTCAACTATTAATTACTCATTAAACAGGTGTCCAGCAGACAGTTGATTATAAAAGGGCATTACTTAACAAAGAAAACCCCTTCCCATTTCATGATGTCAGCAATGGCATCACATGGAAGAGAAATGTCACAGGGCCCGAGAGAAAAAAATTTCTATACACAAGAAAGGAGAAGGCTACAAGAAGATCAGCAAAGAATACTGTAGCAAAAGTGATACAAAAAGTTAACAAAGATGGAACTGCAACCATCTCACAGACATTCAGGTCATATACGGAAGTTAACACCAGGAGCATCTGCTAATGAGAAGGGTTGAAGAAAATCACCAAGCCAGTTCACTGCCATTAGCTGAAGAAGTAGAATGCCCAGCTGGAGTGATTGTTTCCCGTGACACAATACGGCATACAGTGCAGAAGAATGGCATGCATGGGTGTCCACGAAGGAAGCCTCTTCTAAAGCCCAAGCACAAAAAAGCCCACCTAGAATTTGCTAGGGTCCATGCTGAAAAAGAAGTCTACTGGAATTCTACTGGGACTCTACTCTGGAGTGATTAGACAAAGATAAATGTTTTTTGGAACT